TTCAGTGATTAGCTCATATTGTATATTTTGCTACTACTTTCAAGATTATTTTCAACGGTTGTTAAATACTAGTTGGCACCGACTATCAAAAGAAGTTATCTGCCATTTGGGAACTGCCACCATACGCCAAATTAATTGTGCTGATTAAAAATTGAAAAAGAGCTCATTAATTAACCCTAACTCCCGAGGCATTTTTGCTGGGATGCAACCTCAATCCTGCAAAATCCTCCATATAATTGCCTCCTTGTAAAAATTGCATACAGCCTCCATCCTGCAATATCCTCCGTTATTTCTTGAATGTGGTCCTTGGAGGGGTGACCCCTGCCTCAATCCTGCAAAATCCTCCAGCAGTCGCTGTCAATATGTTGAGGCAGAGCCAGTGACATCCTGGAGCTGTGCGGAGGATTTTAAGTATAATTCAGGCCTAAATTTATGCACGGCTGACCATCTAACAACACAAGGTCCGGCCCAAGACCTTGACACGGTGCATCCTCCAAAAATCAGCCACGCATTTTTGCCGCATTGCCTCAATCCTGCAAAATCCTCCATTTTGCAAGGAGGATTTTGGAGGATTTGGGATGGTTAGGGTTAAAATAATATAAAGAAGGGGTACATGTAGCTGAATTGGCCTATCGCCGTTTGCGAGTTAGCCACGCCCTTTAGACAACCCTTTGAAGTTTTTGTACACTAAGTTTTGTTTGTCTCACATTTTCGCGTTCCACGTCCATTTGTGCCGATATATCATGTAATTGGACAATATCTCACAAGCTGCGTTGACGCGATTCTAACGCGATTGATAGGTCAATTGCAGGCCTGTCCCGATATTCGAATATTTGATCATCGACCGAAAACTCGAGTAGCTTTTTACCAGTTGGAATATTAGAAAGATAAAAAAAGAAAATACACACATATACATGTATACGTACATGACTGTCGTAAAGTTGCAGCGCTGTATTATTGTCAGATGCCACATTTTGTTGACAGTAACTTTTTGGTCGACGGCGGTTCGTTGTTCTCATCCTATTAGCAAGTTAAAATCCTTGACAGTTATAAAATACTTAATGTAAAACACTATGCGGCCCATAGCGTCAATCGTTGCTTGCAACTTTCTGCTGGCGCGGCACGCAGCTGCAGCTGACGTGTGTTAACTTGATCGGTGTGTTTCGAATATTCAAATATTTGGTAAAACGCAATTTTCAAATAATCAAAAACGAAATTATTCAAAAATGGACAAGCCCAACTGAAATGCTTATATTTTATCGATTTTTAAACTTGATCAGTGTGTTTCGAATATTCAAATATTTGGTAAAACGCAATTTTCAAATAATCGAAAACTAAATTATTCAAAAATGGACAAGCCCAACTGAAATCCCTATATTTTACCGATTTTTAATAAAAATAAAATTGAACTAATATTTCTCATAGAAGCTGTCAAATCATGGGCAACAGTGGCTTTCGACATTCCAACAAAAGTGTGGCATTTAACAGACAATAACACCATGCAACTGCCATGATTAAAAGAACATAGTGGCTGTTTTTCATGATCTCGAGACTGGCATAAAACCCCAAGAGGCACCAAAATGCCCTGAAAAATATGGCAAAATGAAAATTGCAAGTAAGGTTAAATGAGACACAAAAGTGCATTTTCAAGGATTGCATTAACAGAATTACATTACGTGGGCCCTTTCAGAGCACAGAAATCAGTTTGAATTGAATCGTTTGTATTCCCCAGAAATTTGCTTTTGATGGATACAAAAGCATTAACTATGACATTTAAACAAAATGAACCCCCCCCCCAACAAAAAAGATATGTTTTTGTTTGCAAATGCAACATGCTTTAAAGTGTATCCTGTTGGCCTACCACCCCACCACCCCCACCCCACCACTACCACCCCCACCCCACCACTACCACCCCCAACATCATTTTGTGATGTTGACAAGTTTAATCATCGTCAAGAAATGCAGGGCGGCCCAGAATTGTTTTGATGGATGCTCGCATCCATTATTCCGTTGGTGGAATTTCGTGACCTAGTTTCCTCGGTAATAATGCTGGCAGATTGGACAGGGTCGTTGCCTTTATTGATCCCGGTCAACTCCTGACATCTCGACATCTGCTCTTCTGTTTCTATTTTCTTTGGTCTTTTTTTTTTTCCTTTTTTTTAATTTTTAAAATGAGTACAGCTACCAACAAGCGCTAAATTGTAAAATTTTATTATTAGGTTTTAATGTTGACACCCCTTTTTTTTTAAAGTGGGGCAGGAATTGTGCCTTTGAAAAGATATAGGAAGAATAACAAGCAATTAACAAAATTTTCAAAATGGCTGCCATTGCTTGTTATTCTACCTACATTTTTTCAAAGGACAAATCTGCGATGGCCCTATAGCCAAATATCTGTCTCATGACATACTCTGACTGTGTGCCAAATTCCATGCTTGTATCATCAAAGGCACAATCCCATCACCTACATGTAGATCTGCGATACTGTTGTGTGTAATTTGTGAAGTACATGTAGTGTGATGCCTAGCTCTATGTGTGAACAATATGATATTGGGGTTTATCATCCTATGTCATTATGTCCTTATCGTTTGTCTTCGTGTTCTAATGTTTGGAGGAGGGGGGTTTGGGGTGGATGTTGTTGTTGTTGTTGTTGTGATCTGATACACTGTGCCCTCTGGAGACGTGCACACAATAGGGAACAAAAGATTGTATACGTCTCCACAGGGCAATTTCTACAGATGAATACGTCTCCACAAGATTTTCACGAAATACATGTAGATATATGGATTTTTCTCAAACTACATGTAGGAATTTCCAAGGTGGGTTGATCTGTCGCAAATAGAAGAGTTTTAGAAAAGGGATATTAAGTCCGAATTTCAGCCAAGGAAATTAATTCTGATTAAAATAAGAGCATTTTGAAACTTCACTTTCAAACTCGAAAACTTTACTACACGAGAATAAAGAAATGTCTCCACAAGAATACAAGTTTCAGTATGCGTGTTTTTTGTGTGTGTGTTTGTTCATTCCCCAGTTTCATGCCTGTTAAAAAACGAAATTCTGTGAGACCATTTGTAACCAAACCTTGCTTGCAATAAACAAAATAAAGTGACTTGTGCTGAGGGTAGAATATGTACATGTACATTATGCACATGTACAAAGGTTGTCAGCCCAGTGTGTGTGTATGCTATGCTGGCTTAGTCATGATACACCTTGAAATGCTTCCCTCTAGGTATTTTCCTTGTCAGATACAATTTAATATCCACCAAGGAAACCAAAATACCTCGCCCATCACTTAGAGAAAGTCGGGACTTGTACTGCAGAGTGCTGTGATATCATTTGGTGGATGTGTTCTGTGTTTGGGAGAGTTTTTTTTTATGAAGTTGCATGGCTCTGACATCACACAGTAATAGCCACTAAATTTATCTAGATTCCTTTGGCGGCGCATTTATACCCTGCTTTCCTTCAAGTCGGTTCATTACTCAGCCCAGAAATGTGCAGGCCATTTTTATAGCAGTCCCCCATTGAATGTAATGGTTGGAATGGACGCAGGGGTACAGCAGATATGTGTGTGTGTGGATGTTGCGAAAACCGTGCCCACTGATTTGTGGAGAATGGCTTCAGTATGACCCATTCAATCCAAGGTCGAAAGACTCATAAAAATCTAGAGTGTATGCATACATGTAGGCCGAAGTGTATTTGGGGTTGTGGATTACAAGTACAGATGTACATGTACATGTATACAATTAAACACAAGTTGTCTAGTTTGGCCGGATCGGCCCTATATCATGTGTGTTTGTTGTTACACGAGTATTACAAGGGTTGACATTTTGACTGGAGCATACGATACAGGTCTTCATTCATTGCGGTGGTGAAGATCAACGATGCCGGTGGTCACTTGCACACGTTGCAGCTCCAACTTAATTAATTAATTCATGAAAATGCTTCTTCTGTATCGGTCATTTTCCTGGAGGTGTCACTTGAGGAAAATTAAAATTGCCCTAAACAAGTTACAGCCTAAGAGTTCCAAAGGTCGACATACACCTGTGTATCCCAGTGGGCATAAATGTAACTTAAACACTTTATTAAAAAAAATTGTATTTTAACCCTAACCGTCCTCAGTCAGGGGGGCCGCCCCCCCCCCCCCCCAAGATCTCGACCATAGAGTGACGAAAAATTTTGAAACTCGGTACATGCATAGAGCAACTCTTCACAAACATACTCAAGAAATTCCTTGACTATAGGTCAAAGGGTTTTGGAATTATGGCTAATTAATTATTCATATGTACGAATGTGAATTCTGCTCTGTGTATACGGCGTTTAGCGCCAGAAAATTATTCGCTACGCGACAACCTGTAGTCCGATTTTTATGTTTTTGGTATCAAAAGATGCACAAAGCTCGAGGTTAAAAAGTCATAACAGCTCGGGTCGAGAAAAAAAATTTCAAGGCTATCGCGGAAAAGTAGGCCCCCCCCCCCTCCGCTCTTTTAGGGTTAAGTGCTGTTACAGTTAAAGACAGCTCCTCGTGCCTCATAGTTGTTTTTGCACGTCTAATTTTGACCTCTTTTTTTCCCCCAAAAAGAGATAGGAAGTGCTGGCATTTATGAATTGTTAGCTTATCTTAGATTTTGTTTTTGTACTTTGACACCCATTGTTATAAGTAGCTTGTAAACAATATTATTTTTTTCGTTTTGAGTATAGGCATTAGGTTTGGCACATGTACCAGTACATGGGATTAGATTTGACTGTAATGGGTTGGTTTCCATTCTTATAGTGCGAAAACCCACGTGGTTCCATTCCCTGTTCTTCTTTTCAATTGCTCCAATGATAACTAAATAATAATAAATAATAAACAAATAGCTTTTTTTTTTTAAATGTCGAATAATAGATCCCCCTGATAAAAATGGCGTTATCAACCCTCCCATTCTAACTATCAAAGTCCTGCAAGAAAAAAAAAGGGGTTAACAAGCGAACTTTGACGGATTTCTCTTTTGTCTTGTTTACAGATGTACCAAGATACAGTGTTGTCCAGCTGCCCGACACTGTCCAGAGGGGTGGAGTCCTGAGGTTGGAATGCTCATCAGAAGGGGCTCTTCCCATTTCAGGGGTGATATGGAAGCTGGGCAAGGCCTTGGTCTCTGAGGATCAGAGGTGGGTTAGCTCTTACAACACTTGGAATCTCGCCCCGTGCGCATAAGAACATCAATCACAGATAGCGACAAAAAAGTGTATTATTTAGTGTCAAACCGGCAGCACGCCACACTTTGTTAATTGTGTCAATTAAATGCCCTGTTTTTCTATCCAGAAACGATAAATCACTTGGTCCAGATCGCTCCGGGCAAACTAATCGCTGTGATGAGAAAAAGCATTAGTTGAATTTTTTTTGTGTTGTCAAAAACTGTGACAAACTTGCTCCATTGGCCTGGCATCTAATCCAAATGCTAACGAGCTTGATTGGACACGCACAAAAATAATTGTACAGGCAAACTGTACCATAATTGCAGAAACCAAGAAATTTTGCATCACAGATTCACGTTGCGAGTATTATTTCCCTCGGAAGGGACAACGGTTTAATGCCAATCGCACGGTGCAGTTGACCGTGTTATTAATATGTAGATAGTTTTGTGTAGGTACATGTGGGTTAATGAGGTGAAAGTGCACAAATGGCCCATGCCCCATTTCCTGTGGGGTAGCTCAGCGTAATTTCTGCTGCGCTGTGGTGCTGGCCCAATTTTTGATCACTGGAGAGATAATTAGATTGGGGTTCGCCAGCTTGATGTGTGCCAAAATGGTCGTCTCTGAATCCTGTCAGTGGCACTATGCAGTGGAATGTGTCCAAGGATGAAGATGCAGCCCTACGATCAAAGACAAACCCATTATACATGTTGAGATACTCCACAAATACAGACACAAAAGATTTTTATTAAATTCTTCCGTTAACTGGGTAGCCCATTCAGTGGAATCCACTGATCTACATTGGGGCCCAGTAAAGAGAAGACAATGTGAAGAAATCACAGGTTTTATTGACGTGGGAGAAAAACCCCAGAAGAATATTCCGAGGAAAACCAGGGAATCAGGCAGGGACTGAAAACTCAATAACGTAACGGCCCAGGCACGAATCGAACCCGGGTCGCAGCAGTGGAAGGCGAGGAAAGTGCCGCTACGCCAACGTGACTCCCCAATGAATAACGTAAATAATGTTTGTAACAGTTTACTTCAGTCTTGCAAATACTCTTTAACGTCGAATCAGTGTTAAAACAAGTAATTTTTTTTACTAAGTATGTTGTGGCAGGCATCCATTTTCTAAAAACAATCTTCATTTACATGAGAGATTCATTGACATGCTGAGTATCCAATTTCTTTAAAATGGTGACAATTCCATAGAAATATTTAAAATAAGTCCAAGGAGAATACAGTATCGTTTCTCCAGCTAAAATCAAATCAGAAGTTCTTAACAGCCACCAATGGAGAAAGTCAGAACAAAAAGTTGTGGCGTATTTAATTTCTAATATTACCAGATTTAAAAAAAAATCAACATGTTTAATTTTTTTTATTGAGAGAAATTAGCTCTAGGTGTCAAACGAAAAGTACGCTATTCGTTTTTTTTCTTCTTCAAGTTTTGGAGTTTAGAATGTTGTGTTGCAGCACACTATTTTCAAAGGTTCCAAATCAGTCCAACATCATAAACAAACTAACTTATTTAAATGCCTCATCGGTGAAGCCGAAGTGGCATACTTTGTCTGCCTTGTTCATTGAAGAAACTTCTGGCGCTCAGTAAATAATAAGGCTGCCCAGCACTGTATCAAAGTATACTTCTGTTGACGTTTTCTTTCATTTTCTATTTTCACTTTTATTCAAATCCAGAAAAAACATTTTGCCCAGCGGAGTCCTTCAGGTGTCCAGCGTGGAGACCGGCGATGCGGGTAACTACCGGTGCTTGACCAATAACGTGGCCGAGCGTCGGATCAAGAGTCCCTCCTACAGCGTGCTGGTGCAGGAGCCCGCGGTCCCGCTGGACGACAGTCGAGGACCGGTCATCGTGGGGAGTCCCCGAGATCACCGCGTCCTGGAAGGAGAGACGGTCCTCTTTGAGTGCTTCGCCGACGGCGGGGCCTTACGAGTAACGTGGAGTCGAGAGGGTGAGTTGTGGGGGAACCCTTTGAATAAAAGATTCGGAATGTTACACCTGTTCATGAGAGATGAGAGCCAGTACGTGGAGATGAGAAGTACATGGTGCACTCATGGCGCAGGTCACGTTATGTCCAATTTTCATTCGAGTAAGCTAAACCCAAATGGAAGTGTCATTGCATACAGGCATGCAACTTTTCCTTGGATCTGCTGATTTCCTCGTTTTTTTACTTCTCATGAATGCCATTTCAAAATGAAAAACACTGTTCAAAGGTCTTGTGTGGTTTGGAGTTCCCTCATTTTTTTCCTTCGAAATTCCCAGTTGCATGCCTGTGCAGAGCAACCAACCTGAGCATGGGTGCCAAGGAGAAAATGGAGTTCGTTTCCCTTGTGTCTTTTTCGTTCACTACTGAGCAATTGTTGCAATTTCAAGTCAATTCTTTGCCACTTGTTTTTGATCTGTTCAATTACTGTTGGCCCATGCTGTTATCCCTAATTTGTTTAAAGGGAATATACATCATTTGCTTTTGCTGTAATTTTCAGAAATGGATGGAATTGGGTGGTTGGAAATATATAGCAGATATAGTTACACTGACTTTTTTGAGGTTTTGGGTTCGAAAATGCTATAAAAACCAAGAAAAACAATCATTTTCCTGTAGTCTGGTTCCCTGACTCCATATAAGAAGAAACAGAGCAGTTTACATATATTAGGGAATTGTAAGGTCAGGGAACCAGTCTAGCTGGCTTGTACCCGTTCATAGGTGTGTAATCGATTGCAAACAAGTGCGATGGTCAATTGGGGCCAGTATTTGAAAAAAGCCAGTTTTTTCCAACGCTGGTCGGCCGACCAGCGTTGGAAATTGATACAAAAATACCACTTTTCTTGAAAATGACAGTATACCAGGTGCCATGACTTTACAGGATGCTTTACACTGTCATTCACTAACAGCCCAGCAAGGTATTTCAAAATGATTTGGTAGTTTTATTTTTTGATGTTTGCAAATGTTGTATTTTCCCTTTAAAGTAAACGTACGTGTATAGGTACTAAGCAGAACATGATGCATACAATTTGAAGGTTGTAGATTATGTGGCGCCAAACTTCCTCCCGAAAAGGGGGGAAAATCTCCCCTTATCAATAAAATGACCATGATATTATATTTGCACACGATAGAGGAGACGTGTAGCACCCCCCCCCCCCCCATTGCATAAATCCGCACATTTATTTCCAAGTAGTACTGAGATATTGTACAAAAAATTCAAAATTGGGCGTTTTTACCCAAGTTTACCAAGTTTACCCTAATGCACCTAGTCAGGTTCCATGATTTGTAGTTTGTTAGGAGAAAAAGTTATAGTTTATTCAGCGATAGCGGGATAGTACAGTGACTGTATGATTACACAATGACAAAGACACATGGGTCAGTGATGTTTCACTAGTCTGCGTCTCCATCGGTCAGTGTACTTCTGTTACAAATCACCACAGCGTTATGGTAAAAAAAAAATGATAGCCATTCCATCTGATTGCTTAGTAAAAGATACAGACGCCATTTACTTCCATAACCATTATTTGTTCATACCATGGTCATTGCTCGGGCCGGCGGGCAATCACATGGCCATTGCTGGGCCGGGCAATCACATGGCAATAAATTTACATGTTTTTTTTTCCCCCTTACTGTTATTTCAAGATGATTGGGCAAGTGTCCACAAATCATGTGGTGTTACGGTCGGTTACTGACCTTCCTTCCTCTGCGCACTTTTTTTTTTTGCTGGTTGATAAAAAGCTTAGGTCAGTCCATGCCGTATGACACACATCAAACAGCAGATATCAACCTAGCAGTGTTTACTCTCCGCATTTTTTTTCTGCACTTTTTCCCCCGTATGTTTGTTTATGAAATGAGCGAGGCCATTTTTTTTTCTTATTTTTTGTTTGGCAAGTGTACAAAACGAAACAAGGTACACTGTAGTAACCTGATACCGCACAATTGTCATATTTGTTTACCGGTCAATTTTTGTCAAGGTCGCAAAATGCATTGAACGTGGGGCCCACACAGTAAAGGCTTTGCGCTGTGATAAATTCTCTTATTTGTTGGGTCCAAATTTGAAATCAATTGTTTTTTCAAAGATTTCTTTCACACGCAATTTTCTCTCAAACTAAATAATTTGTAGTGTTGAGAGTGTAAGTTTCTGCACTGCTCGCCTTAAATTTTAAAAATTGTTCTCCTGATCTGTTGTATACGTGTAATGCACAAAGGTTGCTTTCTTAAACCCTTACAGTTGTGTACATATGCAGTTCCAACTGTTTCATGCATGAATTCAAACTGAATTTCATTGCAACATATTTGAGAAGGTAATAATAAAAAAGAAAAGTCAAACCTCACTATTAAAATTTTATGGTAAATGTCCTAAATGAATTTCATGAACTTGGCCATTTACAAAGAACATGTCAACAACGTTCACCAATACATGCACATCTCCGATGTGTGCAACAAAAGGTCTTTGTCCTGCATACACAAGTACATGAACCCTTTAACCGAGTTTGTGCTATATTTGGATCGCCAAGTGTTTTTAAGTGCCTAACATCAAAACAAGAGAGTGAAACAAACACTCGTGAGCGATGACATTGCTGTGCCGTTTGACGAACACATGCACATGTTCTCGTACAGGACAAGCCACGAACGCATGCTGACTGTTGATAACTGAATTCTCGCCTCAACCCCCTCCCCCCCCCCCCCAAAAAAAATGAACAAACAAACACCTCCCCCCAAAAAAGAGGAAAAAAATGCACACAACCCCCAAAACCAAACCAAAAACCCTTTGCAACCATTTCACAAACTCTGAAAGACAAGCAACCAAAAAAATTAAAAACATATTTAAAATCTACATGTATTGATTCCCTAAATGAACTCTGCCCCCCCCCCCCCTTACAAAATATCTGCTGAGGTGCTCAGTGTCACAGGATAGGCACATACATGTACATGTACATGTAGAGTACGGACCCTGTCACTACGATGTATTATGAAACGAAGTACACATGTACCAGTACATGTGGGTCATTCACCTTCGATGGTCTTCAGCAGAGCATATAATGACCTTGAATGAGCAAGCGTTGCTGTGTGTACACATTTTATGAATTGTCAACAGGAGTGCATGCGTGTGTAAAGGAACAGTTGTTACTGTGCACATATAGTTGCACATGTACTTGCCCTTTACTTTGACTAGTTCAAAAGGGCAAGGTTAATAATGCACGTGTTGGATTTCATGCAGCTATGATGCAAGTCCTGTAACTGCACAGCTGTGCGGATCGGTTGTGGCAATTTGGTGTGTACATGTAATGTATGTAGATACACATGTAAAACCCCTTCCAACAATCAAGAAAGTGTTGCCTTTATACAGTGAAGGAACTCTGTGCAAAAAAATAGAGAGATACCCTATCTGTCAAAATCTATCAAGTGACGGTTTGTAACCGTTTTGTAAATTGGGCTCATATTGCTACAATTGACAGGCTGTGGCAGTTTTGTCAACTGAAGTACCATGCCTTGACTGCAGGGTTCGCCCTTAATATTTTTTTTCTTCACTAGCCAGCCGGACTAGTGAACCAGACTCTTAACTAGCCCGCGGGCCTTTTCACTAGTCCACAAAAGAGTTTTTCTTTTTCTTTGCAATTTTTTGTTTGTCTTTTCTGTATTTATACTAGCGATTTTGGCACAATATTTGGCGATGCAATGGCATGAAAAATAAAGCCGAACGCGTGTCAGTATCTGATTATTTTTTTCTCAGACCGGTTTAAAAAAAAAAAACATGGAAATTCGCGGCTAGGCGTAAAAGTTTCATACCTTATCTAATAACTTTGACTCGCCAGTTGGGCTAATAGAAGGCATTTAAATGTCATTTAAAAGATTGAAATAATAAAAACAGGAAAACTGAGAGGGTTCCCATTGGGACGGCAGTAAAACAAAACAAATACACAGCCTGAGTAAACCAACAAAAAATTAAAAATGCACTAGAACGAATATTTGGATAACTGACTGAGCCTAGAAAAAATCTTCCATCCCCTTTTAAGCAAAAAAACCCTGCAATTTTTACTGTACATGTCACTTTGTATTGGTCTGTCTGTCTGTCTGTCTGACCAAATTGACCAATTGACCAAAAACGAGCCCCCGTAAGTTTCCCATAAAATATAACTACCAAATTTTAATTTTAAAAAAACCAACAAAACTCCCTAACAGTCCTGAATCCTCCAATTTCAATATGATTTTGCACACCCCCTAGGAAGTTGACCCTAACTCCCTAGGGGGTGTGCAAAATCATATTGAAATTATTAAATGTTGTTTGTAAACAATTCGTAAAGTTGTTTATGAAAATTTTGTAAATGGAGGCAAAATATGTGCAGTAATGTTACTTTCACGTGGTGTATACGCGTACCGCGCTATATAGCACGCTATATTTTATGGGAAACTTAGGGGGCTTATTTTTGTCAATTTTCGGGGACAGACTAGGGCTTGTACGCACAATCATGTCATGCAAGACGGCCAGAGCTTATTGTGCACTCGCACTTGTTCCCAATAAGTTCACCATTTGTCCCACTTCTGTTGTGCACTTGCACTTGTTCCCAATAAGTTCACCATTTGTCCCACTTCTGAACAGTCGCTGCAAATTATCGAAGCCTGCGTGCTCTCTCTACAGGTACATTGTACCTCCCTCTGACAACAGACTCCTGGAAACATTCGCTGACAGTTTGAGGTCATACCGGTGCCTCTTTCACTTGTCTCTCGGGGATTCCATGTAGCAGAAGATTTCCCTGAGAAACGCTTAAAGCCTCTTGCATCAATTGGGAAGTGGATTTCGACCCAGAAAAGCAGGGTGTTCAATGTGCCCGCACATCAGTGTCTCTGTGGATTTGCAGCAGTCATAGATTCAACATCTGCACGGCTTAGCTGACTTGTCAAGAGTTGCGGCCCGCGAGTCATGTTCAAGTCATTTCGGAGTTCACAGTTTCTGCTCTGGAGTCAGGACACTCGTACATCATCAGATCTGTCACATTACAAGCTGATTTTTTTGTTGGTTTGTCAACTCAAAATTTGTGATAAGTTGGAGTGTGGTATTGATATGGATTAAAGGGCCATCTAATGCAATCCTTGGAAATGCACCATTGTGTCCCATTTAACCTCATTTTCAATTTTCGTTTTGCCATTTTTAAGGGCATTTTGGTGCCTTTTTGGTTTTTATGCTAATGCAAATTTGCGTATTCATGACCAAAGGTGTGATGTCATTTCAGGCAGAAGCCTCAATGTTACAGCTATTTCAGCATCAAAACTTGCCACAATTTTGGATATTTTGCTATCGTAAATGTTCTTTTCTTTGGTGATTCGTTGTTGTTTCAGTACATGACATTATCCTCACGTAGTTGATGTGATATTTTTTATTTCAAGCCTGACCAATCCTTTTTCTTGTTTGATGACGCCCGCAGATGGCCGACCAATCAGAACGCAGGATGTAAACTACCTCGGGGGAAGCAATCTCCAGCTGCTGAAGGTGACAGCAGAGGACGAAGCGGTGTACGTCTGCACCGCCGAGAACACCGCAACTGGGGTCTCTGTGCAGGCGCAGGCCCAGCTGTTCATTGTGGGTGAGTGTGGGGGGAGGGGGGGGGGGGTTTGCACTCAACCACAGGATATAGCCCATTATCATGTTGCGGCCATTTTGATTTTTTCCCATTCAATTTAACATAACCAAAGCGAGGCTGGAAGGAAAAATAGTCTGGTTCCTTTTTGCACAAAAAAAAGCATCATTCAGTACTGTTATTTGATGCAGGGCACATGACTGAAATGGTGGCAGCACGATAAAGGCCTATAGGGGGAGAGTGTTGCATCCCGGTCTTCATCATCCAATATTTCACGATAGAAAAAATAACAGCTTAGTAAATTTGTTTTTCAAGCAAAATTCGGTTACAGTCGTTTCAAACTTAGCGTGCGTTCCAGAGACATGCTGAACCAAAATATTTCCAAAGATTTTGTTTGGTGCACCACAAAGTGACGTATCGTCACTCTATGGACTTTCTGCTTTGTGGTGCGACCAAAGATTTTGAATAAAGTGAAAATGTTCATGTTTGAAACAAATTAGTAACTACATGTACATCAAAAGAAAGACTGTCTATTCAATGAAAAGTTACAGCAAGGGGTACCGTGTTGTAGTCTAAGTACTGCATTGACAGTGTTAACCCTCCTGCTATCTGCACAGTCACAGACAATAAAAACAAAAAAATCCTCTCCCCTTCCATGCCTTTTACACAGGCTATTCACCAACAGTCAGGTCATATTCTAAGCAAGCACTGTGACTTGTCAAATTCAGTCAACAGACAAAAAAACCCCAGGCAAGCGGTATGCACAGCTGGCTTATCAATCACCTGCAGTCGATCAAGTTACATAAACAGTCACAGCCAGTCAATCCTGCTTTATGTAGGCTTTGAGCTCTTAACTGTTGAAAACAGATTTGATTTTGACTGCAAGGACAACTTGGCACAGAATGTATAGGGTGGTCAATATAATAAGTACATTGGTGAAGGGCAAAATCCACATAAAATTTACATATCCCATAGACTCTCCTGAAGACGGTCAGAGCATACTGACCGGAACGTCAAGTTTATACCTCTGGTTCTTTTCAGAACCATTCTCTTAGTTGAGAAATTATTCGCACATGGTGTTTCCGCAAACCTTTCATTATTTAGTCTCCACCATGCAAAGCCTCAAATCTTACTTACATATCCCTGACACCATGTTTCATTTTCTGTGTGTTCGGAAGTTGTGTCCCCCAATTGCAACTCAGATTGTACAGTGCTTATGTTAATGAGATTACAAAAAAATAAATCATTTTTTCCATTTTTTCCCCTGGGTAATTCCAGTGCCTCCAGCATTCAGGGTGTCGCCCACTCGCTTCTTTGGTCCCCTGGGCAGCACGGTCCGGTTCTCCTGCTCGGCGACGGGCATACCCGCCCCAACCATCCGCTGGTTGCACAACGGCAACCCGGCAGCCCTGGACTCACGGGTGGTCCAGCAACCCTCGGACGACCTGGTCTTCATCGGGGTCCGCCGGCAGGACATGGGCACTGTCCAGTGCGTGGCGGAGAACAAGGGGGGTAGCATACAGGCCGGGGCCGAGCTGGAAGTCCGCATTGATGGTGAGTATCAAAGAGAGAGAGAGATATTACAGGCCAATGCTGGATGGTGGGCCCAATAGGAGAGATTGCATTGTAGACTAATCCAAGTTCTCCATGACTGGGCTTGGTTTTTCACCCTTACTGGCACACTCTACTTGCATTGGTACTACGTGCAGGGGTGTGAAATCTCAGCTTTAGAGCTGATTTCAGCTTTTTTTGTTTTGGATTTCAGCTTTTTTTCCCATTACTTACTGTGTACAAATGTATAGGAGATTTCCAAAGGTCAGCTTTTTTACACCTTTTTCAGCTGTTTTCAGCTATTTTTATCAGTGGTCACTCACACCCCTGTACGTGTCAAAAAAAATCATGTTCTACTTTTTATCCTGATTAGGTCTGTCTCAAATGACGTCATTTCCTACAGATACCACGCGCATCGGTATTTTTGGGTGTCAAATTTTCATGACACGCATCGGCTGCAAGCAACACGCGTGCGTGTTGAGACAATTTTACACACTGCGCGCACACGCACCTGATAACATTGAACACGCAGTTTTTTTTCCTATGAAGATGGCGTCCTATGAGGGAGATCTATTACTCTGATGTTTACCAATGGAATTAAACCAAAATTTCAGATCATGCAAACAATGCATGGCAAATTTTACGGAGTGAGTTTCATCAGCTTTGTTAAAGAAGGTGAGATTTAAATGTCGATGCAGCGCTGGAGACTGAGACCCATGAATGAATTGGACTGGGTTTTTTTTGCTCCGCAGGCAACCCGCCGGATCCTCCCCAGAACATCCGCCTGTTGTCCGTCAACCCCAACACGGTCATGGTGACCTGGACGCCTCCAACGCGGCTACGCAGCCAAATCATCGCCTACAGCGTCCACTACAAGGCCGTCAAAGGTGCGTATTGGTATTTCCCCGCACGGTGTCCATACACATGTACGGTTTGCTCATTAGTCGCTGTATTGTCCCAAACCGCCCAGTAACGTTTCAGCCAGTCCCAACACTCTTGTGTTTTATGGCATCATTAGGGAATAAATTACAATGTAGTGAGATCGCTCGAGAATTGTGTCAATTAATATGTGCCAACTTTAACTTAGTCTGGCTGCGAGCGCAGCCGGACTTGCTGCCCATCTCCGCCAACGCCACTTAGGTCACTACCAACAGTTCTCGTCGTTAGCAATTGCATGGAGGCGATACGTTTTTATAATGTGATGCATGTGTGCTAATAGTTCAACCGTACCACAGTGATGACAAGATACAATTGATGCATTGATGATGCAGTGCAATCAATTAAACAGATGGGGTTTAAATGCCATTTGGAAAAAAATTGCTGGAAAGGAGCCAATCCTGTGTTCAAAGGTCACTCTTCAATGAAACTTTGATTGTTGTTTGAGTGATCTTGTCAATGGTCACAAAGTTTGCATCAAAAAGTCCTAAGGACCAAGTAGTGGTATTCAAGGATAACGCCTTGAATCTGAGCCCTCAGTTTAGTGAGTTTTTGTGGAAGCTGCATCAGAAAAAAATGCAAATTTGTCGCTGAAAGATAGAAAGTATCCAGCAAAGTGAGTTAACAGAACTGAAACCTGTATTTTCTGTTTTGGCAGATGGCATTGGTCAGCAAGCGATACATGACTCTGAGGACACGCAGGTCATGATCGAGGACTTGAGCCCTCACACCAACTACTCCTTCTATATGCAGTCGTGGACCACCAACGGACCCAGCGAGGAGTCCAAGCGGCATTACATTCTCACGGAGCAGTCAAGTAAGTTTTAGGTTCTTGGCTGTATCTAACAACATCTATTTGTTATTTCGCTTCAACAGCCTCAAAAAGTCCTTTTGGGGGAAAATTGTTGATTTTCTTTTTTTACTTTGCATAATTCCATGTGAGTAACCTCAGGAGCAACTGTAGGATAAAAGACTAAAGGTTTATACGTATGTAGTGTGTGTATCTCGTTCATACGAAGAAAGAAAACCCTTAGGTTTTTGTTGGCTTACCTGAAGAAACAATCTGAAGGGACCCTTAACAGTCCTGAATCCTCCAATTGTAATACGATTTTGCACACCCCCTAGGGAATTAGGGTTAAGGTTGGTTCTTACTATAAGCGAAGGTGAAAGCAAAGCTCACTTTATAGCACAAAGCAAATCCGTGGTAATTAAAGTCTCATTTTGATATTAGCCAGTACTCAAACTAATTTGCTTTGCACGGAAATTTACGTGAACAGGAGCCGATTTCACAGAGCAGTGCGTAACATATGCCCTGCGTAGGATTTGCGCAGCTACGTAAAAACTTATGATCGATTTCGCAAAACTTGGCGTAGCTGCACAACGTTTTAAATAATCGAAACATCTAGGACGAGGAAAATAACAGCATTTTCAACGGCTGTTCATGTATGATTTTGTTTGTTCATGAAACAGTTGTTAAATTACCTCTGCCTGCCATTTAAAAAAAAACATTTGTGCAAATTTCCTCGGAATCGTGTGGCGACTCTAAAAAGTCTTTCATGAGTAGGAGAGCAATTCTTTCTCTTCAAACACAAAAGCTGTGAGTGTCTTGTATCAAGCTTGATAAGTTGTGCAATAACAGGCTCCACAACAGTCGCGTTTTGCTTGTTACATGTAAGTAGGTCATTTTCAGTGGTTACGCCACAGCTTACGCCACCTTAAATGATTGCGCAAGTTATGCCGTAATTTTTTGCGCAAGTCGCGGACTTAGGCACTATGAGAGTTTCTAACATTGGCAGAACTGAAATGTCGCGCAGCATGAAATGTTGCACAACAAATTGTGGCGCAAGTGGACTTGCCCAAAGTTTCGTGAATTCTGCTGCAGTCCTTTTAAAAGTTTAAAAAACAGGTGACCTATATTTTGTGTTCTTGATATTCCCACAGGGCCCTCCTTTGCGCCCAGATTCACGGCGGCCAGCAACACCCCAACCACGGTCACCTTGAACTGGCAGCCGTTGCCGGACAAGTTCCGGCACGGTGTCATCGTGCGCTACCGCATCACAGTGCGGGAGACCGGCGAGACACAGTCGCAGGACACGATGGTCAACAACGCCTCCCTGACGGAGTTCACCGTGGAGGGGTTGCTGGCGGGGCAGATCTACCAGGTGCGCATGGCGGCCGCCACCACCGAAGGGTTCGGCGTCAGTTCAGACTGGGTGACGGTGCAGACCCGCGTCCCCGGCGATTTGCGTAAGTTTTGGAGATTGTTTGAATACTAACTTGGTGCCGATGATCCTTGCCGAGATCACCAAAATGTTACAGATAGTACCCACTTTTAGATTTTATTCCACAAATTAGAAAAAATTGACTCCAAACGATTTTCTTTTATCTGTTGGGTAGGTACGGTAGTTGGCTATTCATAATCACTCTTGGAGCAGTGCATCAGAATTATAAAATCATAGGTGTCAGATGTGGAGCCCAAATCGATAGAATGACCCATTTCGCGTGCTTAGGGTTAAAGATGTATACATGCTGAAGCATTCAAGTCACACAGAGTAAACAAAATTCCCTCCTTTTATTTCATTTTACACTTTTTATGAATTTGTCCAAAATCAAAATACTGATTTTTACTTTTATACCATTCAAAGGAGGAGTCTTCACATTACTCAGCCCAGCTATGTACATGATCATATACACACCTCCACTGTGTTTTCCTACAGGCAAGAAGGGGGCCGGATCGTTTGTGATCTCTTAACAAAATCCTCCCCAAAACCCAACCAGCCTCCCAAAAATTTCAACATAGTATCTTTTTTCCGACCCTTTTCACCCTATCTTGTTCTCCCCCCTGGGAAATGGTGACCCTGTTTTACCCCCAACCTCCCTCCAGCCAGTGTAGGGACAGGGGATTAAAGCCCGCTGACAGCTTGATAAATTCGTTGACCCATAGCAGTGGCCTGATGAAAAGATTGTTAATCTCTCTCCTGCTGGCTGTTTTTTTCTCCCGAGCTTCTTGCTTTATTGATAGTTCAAGTTCCCACTTTGTTGATTCTCAACCCGCCTATGTGTCGATGCCCCCAAAGTTTTACAAATATTTGCTGCTAGCGGAGCTCTTAATTCAAGTTGCTGATATATGCTCTGCTATGATCCGGAATCTACAGAGAGAGAGAGAAAAAAATTATAAAACTCTGGCCCGAGCAAAACTGAGCCATGTTTACATGGCCCATTTGGACAGCATGTGCTTTGTACTGTCACTTAGCTGCTGATATTTTTCAAGGTTGAATGACAGGTCGTGATGTCGCAGTATCCCTTGCATTATTATTGGACGTTGACCGCCAGATGGTCGCATATTTTCCGGGGGCAGCAAGGGTAGCAGCGTAGCTAAGATTTCTGGAAGGGCAAGGGGCACCGGAAGGGTTGCTGTTCGGGGAGAAAATTGGGAAATGGTTTAAGTCACATCCTCGGTGAATTTTATTGCTTGTCTGTTTTTTTGTCGGTTGTTTGAAATGTCATTTCATGGCTGGTGGGCGCAATTTACTTTGATGTATTTTGTACCATAAAATAAAAATATAAACTTATATTGATTTGATACAATATTTGATATTATAGTGAATAATTTCAATTTTCATGGCTGGTGGGCGCAATTTACTTTGATGTATTTTGTACAATAAAATGAAACTATAAACTTATATTGATTTGATACAATTATTCAATAGTAAAATAAATTAATAATGTTAAAGATGCACTTAAAGGGAAAATACAACATTTGCAAACATCGAAAAATAAAATGACCAAGTTTTTACGAAATACCTTACAGGATGTTGGTAAATGACAGTCTAAAGCATCCTGTAAAATGATGGCACCTGGTGTGAAGTCATTTTCAAGAAAATTGTATTTTTGTTTACATTTCCAACTGTGGTCGGCCGACCACCGTAGGAAAAACCTAACTATTTTTTACTACTGTTCCAAATTTCCCATTTTTTTTTCAGTCCAATTTTGTTTGCTAATTGGTTTTATGTTAATGAATGGGTGCAGGTCAACTAGACTGGTTCCCTTAGCGTACAATTTTTCGGCATCTGTAAATTGATCCATTTCATCTTCAGTGGAGTCAGGAAACCAGACTACTTGAAAATTTTTGTTTTTCTTGGTTTTTCCAGCATTTTCGAAAACAAAACTTCAAGCATGTCAGTGTAACAATAATTTGATCTATTATACTAACCCCTCAAATAGTTCATTTCTGAAAATTAAAGCATAAGCCAATGATGTACATTCCCTTTAATAATATTATGGCTATTAGGGCCTCTACAAAATATTAATGGTGGTATTCCTGCATTTTATTGCTTTAACATGCCGGCTTTGTCCCACATGTTTAGACAATAATTTGCGAAATTGTGGATTGAAATATCTGTTTATGATAATTGTCATAATTTGATAATAAAGGGCAAGAGGTGACATGTACTTTTGTAATTGAAAAAAAAGAGAAAAATACCATAAAACTTTTGTTTGTTGAATCCGAAAAGGGGATTTTCTCCTTTAAGGTGTTTTCATCCTACTGCCCTGTCTCACTGCAGGAGGACATGGGTTTAAATCCCACCCAAGTATTTGTGATGGGATCAAGCTACATGAGTCGTTTGTCGGGAATTTTCATTTGGAGATACAGGCCAAAATAGGGCCACTTCATCACATCACTTCATCACATCTCGTGGTGTTCCGACTTCTATAATTTTTGAACTAAAGATGGTATCAGCATGCGGTTTTCACAGTAGTAATGCTGATATTGTGCTCTATTAAAATCTATAATAAAACATTTTTTGACCAGGGTCGACAAACGACTCATTTAGCTTGATCGCATCACATTTTACAAGTTTGTGAAGTTTTTCTCCTTTAAATCACTCGGTGCTTAGGAAAAAAATTGTTTCCCAGAGGGGAATTTCCCCAATGTTAAAAAAAAGTGAATTCCATTTGCCAAACAAAGTAGATTCCATTTGCAACATTTATTCCCTGAATCATTTTGTGTGTTTATTCTTTGTTACAGCGCCATGAAATGGATCTGTGATTGTATGCGCGTTATCAATTTCTCTTTTATTATCATTGGTAAAAATGACATTCAACTGACAAAAAAAAAGTTGTCCAGGACATTGTCACAATATCAAAATGTGGGTTGATTTTGCTTGTTTGTCATTTTGATTTGTTTATCAAATTAATTGGATGGCTTCTAAGACTCAAAAATGAATCAAAAAGTTTGCTTATTCAAGCCAGTAAAGGCTTGGTTTTGTTTTCTGGCCGACACCAGTTATTGGACTTTTCTTCACTTATTTTTGTTTTGTTGAATACTCAGGGCCAGAGGCACCACAGTTCGAGACGGTGAATCTCAATTTCACCACCATCAGCGTCCGTCCCCATCCGCCCCAGCCCTCGGAAATGAACCTCCTGGGCCTGAAGCTCTTCTACTCGGTGTACGATGCCGACAGCGGGCTTGGCGCGGCCACGGAACCGATCTTGCTGCCTCTCAACACCACTGAGTATATCATCACTGGTTTAGGTGAGTTGGAACCATTTTATTTATTTATTTATGTACTTTTTTGTTCCCCCAACTTGTAACTAGAATGATGGTAGTCCATTTATACACCGATCTGATTTTTGAAATTATGGTGATGGTTCTGGTAGCCACTACTGCTTCCATGCCTGAACGCTTGCTAACGCTTCCATGCCTGAACTTCCATCACACATGCATTTTGTATAGCTGTGAACACGTCACTGCACGGGAGTGCATTGTATGAAATACAAAGCGTGTTGGTTTTTTTTTTTGAGGCATGTAACTTTTCCTCGGATCCGCTGATTTCCTCGTTTTTTACTTCTCATGAATGCCGTAACAAATTGAAAAATACTGTACAAAGTCTTGTGCGGTTTGGAGTTTCCTCGTTTTTTTTTCTAAATTCCCAGTTGCATGTCTGTTTTAGGCGTCCGAGTAATGGAGGAAAGCCAGTCCAGGAATCACAAAAGTTTGCAACTCGGATAGGTCTAGACCTTTTTCAGTGTCTGGCCAAACCAAAGTTTCCTAAGATTTGGATTAAGAATACAATAAGCCCGGAAATTTATTGTATTTTCCCCATTAACTCTTTGCACACAGTGAGCCATTAAATTGGATCAAGAAGGTGCTTGTATAATGCCGCCTAATTTAGGCAGTTGATTTTGTAGTTAGAGTTAGCTGACCTGAACAGTCCTTTTGATTTTGAGGCGTGCGATCACACCCCCACGCCATCGCACGCCTAAAAGCTTCCCAAGAAGTGCCAATAATCGCATGCCTGAATCCCTCTGTACTGCACACCTCGGCATACATTTACGGCATAATTATACTTCATAATTTGTGGGAAAAAGTATGTCGGTGAAAAGAAAATGGCTTTACTGTAAACCAAGTTGAATATTATTTAAAAAAAAAAAATAACAAAAAAAAATACCAGATTGTTCAGTCCCGCTTGGACCACAGAATCACATGCCTAGAAAAATCACACGCCTAGAAAAATTTGGTAGGTGTGCCTTTTTCCACACGCCTGTAATTTTCAAATCAGAAGGACGGCCTAAGGACAGTTACGAATAATAGATGAAAACATCTGGACACTGTTTTTTATTGTCCAAATTAACAAGTTCAGAAGCAAATTTAATAATTTACTGTAGCTCGTAACGTTTGCAATGGTCACAAAACAATTGGATTTGATATTTAAACTATGACTCAATTACAAAATAGATTGCCGTAAAAATATTACGGTCTTTTTTTAATGCATGAAGTCCAATAGGTGTACACCCCCCCCCCTCCCCCAGTATTCTTCTACACTGTAGTGGAAGCAATTATTCAAGTGATCTTATACACAAGTATTGAAAAATGTCCCTTTTTAATCGAGACTGTTTTGTGCAGATGTGTCCCGAGATGCATGAAATGCAGGGTCATTTGTCAGTGTGAGCCGATATGGAATCTAATATTCAGGTCACGAATTAATTTCCCAACAGCAGCGCGGCTCAACCCTGCTCTCATCACCTGGTCGGCCGTTCTGAATCACTTCCTCTGATCACAATTTCTTTTGGTAAAAAAGAAAGAAGAAACTTTCAAATCCAGAGCTTGTGTTTTCCATCCATTCCGAACCAGTTTGTTCAATTTATCTGTTTACAATTTTGCTTCAGCCACAGCTGAAAGCAACAGCTGGCAAATTCTATTCAATTTACTAAATATACTTAAGCCTCTCCGCCCACCTTATGGCTTTTGTTCGCGGTCCACAAGTTGTATCGCAATTGCGGTGCACTCGTTAATTTTGATATCAAAACAGGAGCCAGGCCTTGGGTGGCTAATTTTCATTGCAGCTGACAAATTGAACGTACCGGTTGAACTTTAACAAATATGGTTAATGATGCATACCGGTACATGTACATTTAATTCAGGCAGTGTGGCTGCACCACTATAGAAAAAGTGTTGAGAAAAAAAACAGACCTCTTTCCATTTTGCTAGTTATGTTTTCAAAGTGCCGCCTGGGGGGAAAACCTGAAAAACTCATGGAATTTTATTTTCAATTCCTGGGAAAGTCTTGAAAGTTTGTAAAAATGACAGAAGTCATGGAAGAGTCGTGGAATTTTGTGAGGACTAATTTCTTTTAAATTGTAAACTTTGTACACACGTTTATTCATAATTAAGCATCAGAAAATCAGATTTTTATCCCCGACAAATTGCGACCAATTTCGCCGATACGGTACACGCGTTTTTGATGTTGATAAGTCCTCATTGCTTTGTTGTGTTGTTTTTCTGTTTCCGTTGAGCAGTTTTCACAGAACAAATTGGACAGTTTTGATCTGCATTTTGATGTACATGTACTATTGGTAGGTCATGGATTTTCATGAAGGTCATGGAATTTTATTGTCCTAAAGATGCAGGAACCAAGCTTATTGTGTACTTCAGAATGTATGGAAGAGTGCCTCTTGGTGTTTTAATTATACATGTACATGTACTGGTACATTGTGCATTCAGATTTAAATTTTACTGCAAGACAGTGAAGTAACTTACGGAAATCATTGTGAAACAGCTTAGAATGCAGGGGGAAAATATGACTATTTTGCGTCTGCCAAAAGGTCATTAATTAAAAATTATTTTTAAGGGGACTTTCTTGAGTTTTCGTGGAATATTATTGATTTTTGCCTTTTTGTTTGTTTGTTTTTTTGTTTGTTTTCGCTTAGACCAGTAGCTCTTATTGTCTGTTATTCTGTCAGAAGTTTGTAGCTTTTCAGCCCACGACCACAACCCTTCTCTGCACAGATGTCCCCTGTTAAAAAAAAACAAAAAAACCTGGCCTATTTCTGGGAATTGATGTTGTCATTGTGAGGCCCCCCAGGGGAAATATGAGCTAGTTGACCCACATCACTGAAGGAAGGAAGGGGTGGGATGTTGGAGCATTGGAGGGGGGGGGGGAGGGAGAAAGTGGGCTTGGCAAAGGGCCAGAGGGGCGGGTAGGGGCTAAGCCCTGGCCAGTGACCCCTCAATCAACCCCCAAACTACTTACCCAACGGCTTCCCCTGACATGTCGTATTTGTTTACGTTTTTCTGGTGGCCATGGTGAATGATTATGGGTGGGTGCGGTCATTGCGCTGACAGAAAGGGGGAAAACAAGGAAATGAGACAGGATTTTGCTTGCACTGAAGTACAATATTTTGCCAGGATTGTGTTCTTGTGGCATAAATTTAGTCACAAATCCACCTTCCTTGGGGGGGGGGGGGTACGTCTACCGGAATTTGCAGGCAGAACACATGTACCGGTATATCACAACCGGTTAAAAAAAAAAAAAAGTTTCATCCATGACTGCCTTATTGTTAATACCTTTTTTTTTTCATGCATGAAAAACCCTCCCTTGCATACTTACAAATTGCTATTTTTTTTCAAATTGCTATTTTTGTCCACTGATGTATGTGGACAGCGTTCAAGCCTGATGGAGTGTCCATGAATTTGGACACGGGCACAGTATTGACAAGTGACCTGTAGCGACGCCTACGCGCAATTTGTTTTTCTTTTGTTTGTTTGTATATATTTTCTCACCCAGCTACTGCGTCCGCTCATAGGGAATTATTAAAGCTGGCTACAACTGCTGTATGGCCATCAGCCGGAGGAAGGGGGGGGGGGGGGGATGGGAAGCGGTCAGTATTGGCGACAACAATGACCACTTTCCATTATTCATAAAGCGGATGAGTTGATTAATGGCAATGAATAAGTCGGTGAGAACGGAACTTTTTTTTTTTCTTCTGGTTCTCAATTTGATGAGTTGACCTCATACGAATTCCGTAAAAGAGAGGAAAGGGGGGGGGGGATCCAATAAATGGGGGAAGTGACACAAGCCCGCGTATTAGGAAATCAGTGTTCATTCCTTGGGGAGATTGCTTTGCCAGATGATGAATTGTTGATGATTAGCGGCTTTTTGGATATCCGGGCGGCCGGGGTCGTGGTTGGATGGCTGCGGGACACTTAGGGGGAAAGAAAGTGCCAATAAACAAGGCCTGCCGGCTTGAAATTCATCTTGTAAGATGTGCCAAGTAAAACGACCACGCATTAAGAAAATTAATCAAATTTAAGACCTATATCAGACACCCCCCTCCCCCCCTCCCAATATCTGCGCATAGGATTAGTTATGCATATTCATCCCACTCCGTGTAAGTCATTTCAGAAAGTTAGTGGATTAGGTCATTGGGATGAAGACACAATTTAAATCTACGGGCTTGGCATAGGGACTGTTATGGTTATTACATGTAGCACTGTGGCCAAGTTGCGGGCCAGGGAAGGACAAATCATTTGCGTGTGTTACTGTTAGTGTGTACATGTACGTGTTCATCTTTTCAAACCGTGGAGGAAAAATACCAGAGAACAAAAGAGAACAATATCGTCCACGATTCCCAGCATACGTCCGCGATTGGGGTCGTGTACAAAACCTATGGGAGCCTTCCTAAAAAGTTAAGAGTGCAAACAAAAGAGGGACAATAGGACGTCCACAATCGACGGTGAACGCACGTTTGGGTGCACGTGTTGGCATGGTGTGGAGGTATGCGCAGCCAGATTTTCAAATGCTCCGTTCGCAAACTCGTATTTGTACACGAGACAGGATTTCCACAGTCATGGATAAATCTTGGAATTTAAAGGTTTCATGGAAAAATCCTGGAATTTAAAGGTATCATGGAAAGTCATGGAATTTTTTTGTATTTTTAAGGAGTCGTGGAAAGTTGGTATTCCAAGAAAAAAGTCCTGGGAAAGTCATGTACACGTACATCCTGCACAACCCATACATGATGATGCGTAATGTTTGGCCAAGTCAGTCTTCCGGTTGCATTCTAATTGACTATACTTCCTTTTTATGCATGATGCCGGTACATGTATGCCCAATACTTGTTGCACGTTCGGTGCACCATTGCGGTGCCTTCGTGGTGCTCATAGTCTTGTGCCAAACTGGAAGGCAGAAAGGGAGTGGCGTCCCGTTGCCTCTGTCCTGGAAAAGTCACGAAATTTCTTTTCAAGATTTCTGT